CAGAGACAAAGGAGGAAGATAGCAAAGAGTTTATTAGATATGCTGCTATAGGCAACAGCGGGCACAGATGAGAGGGTGCTGAGGTCTTTTATAAGGGAGGGTAACTTAACTCCTTGTGCTTATGGGACATTGGACACAAAGGGCATCACCGGGGGCGTGATCGGCTTGTGCACAGTTCTCTGATTGGTTGACGTTGAGGTAACAGGGAAGGGAGGGGCTCGTGGAAGGGCAGGGCTAGGGATTTGGGTAGAGGGTTGTGACCAGTCCTGATGGCTAGGCTTCCACCGTAGGGTTGATCACTGTCTAGAGTAGTGAGTTCAGCTAAAGCAGGTAAGTATTAAGAAAGGAATGTTTTCCGTTATCTTTAAAGGGCGGCAACTGGACACTTGAGGGGCCTTGGAGCAGGAACCTGCCAGATGTCTGTGGACTCCACAGCTAATTGGTTGTTGGAGGCAAGCCCCAGTCAGAGACCATAAGCATCAGATAAAAGAAAGGGAGAAGGTGAAAAACCCTGAACTTGAAAATCACAGCCATCACTTCACGCAGATGCAAAGAAACTTCTATCTCAACAGCAACCTGGGAGTTTATTGCTCTATAGAAATCAAGTTCCTGTCCTGAATTGTGGTTCTGAGACGTGGAAACATTATACTATGTTCAAGATACTCTACTTCAAAGAGCAGAGAAGTAATATAATAAAGTTATATATTTAGGTATGGATGGAAAAGTTTCATTCAGAAAGGTAAAAAATAATTTAAAACATTGGCAGTTAGAGAAGAAAATGGTTGTCATGTAAGAGTTAACCTTTTTAAAACAGCCTGTACCTGGCTACTCTGAATTAATAAAGGTGAATCCAAGGCAAAGAATGCATTGCTAACATTGGCAATTCTCATGTAGTAATATTTGGTGAAATTCCAGAGTCCCTTCCTTAAGCAAATGTTGAGTGTTGAGGAGGTACCAGATGCTGAGCTAGGAGACAGGAAGAAATCAGACCTGGTACCTGCCTCAGAGCCTGCGCCTAGCAGGGAGGCGCATCTAGGTGCAGAAATAAGTACCACGCAATGTGGTGCTGTTTTTATCAAGTGCTTCAGAGCCATTCAGAGAGCAGTGTATTCCTCCTGGAAGAGATGAGAAAGGCTTACAACAAGGTATAGCTTTTGAGATGTACCTTAATAGGGTTTTAAGGGTGATAATAAACCTCATTCATCCCCTTGGAGTTCTAACCAATTAAGAAATAGGGAGGAAAATTCAGAAGTAGGGAGGAAAACAGTGCATGTAAAACCGGATTCAAGAATGAGGCTTGGGTCTACAAGCGAAAAATAAAATCTTCCCGACGTGTCTCCTATTGTCTAAACTTCAGGAATTGCACACAGGGAGTTCATAGGAAAATCAGGTGAGCGGGGCAGACTCTTAGCCAGCTTCAGGCTGAACTGTGACCTGCATCCCACGGGTTAAATGTGGAAGAGTGAGAAAGACCATCTGTGGGGAGTCATTTGAACCCATCAGCCTTGTGAAATAGAGAACTGTAACTGTGGGGGAGGGTGTCTAACTCTCCAGCCAGGTAAACCGTGCCTCCTTCCCTCTGGAGACACAGCCAAGAGGAAGAGAGAGGGGCCAGAGGTGCTCCTGTGACACTGTTCCCTCCCGGTGAAGAGAGCAGGCGTGCCCTCCCCTCTGCCCTGAAAGGAGGAGCACAGACAAGCACCACACGTAACAGGTCCTGAAGGATAAACAGATTCAACAGGTAGGTGAGAGGGAGCATTCCAAGTAGAGAGGAAAAGCGACAGCAAAGCAGGGAGGTGTCAGTGTCCCAAGTGCCCTGGGAAATGGGCGGGAATCATTGCGAGTTTCTTGAAATATGTCAGTTTTCTAACCGAAGGTGGTAGATGCCCAGGAGTAAATATTTCTATGTCTCTAAATCTAAGCCCTTATTTCTTATCATACTCAGCCCAGGACCTAAAAACAGCACAGAAGGGCTTCACGAGTTTGTATGTAACTTGCTTAGGGTCCACGAGCTTTCTGAACCTGTGGGATGTTGTCTTTCATCGGTCTGGGAAACTTTTTAAGCATAACCCCTTTAACTATTGCTTCTGTCCATTCCCTCCCTCTGCTCCTTCTGACACAGGACAAATGGGGCACGAGAGGATGGCCGTGTCCTGGATCTCAGGTGAGCTCCTGAGACGTGCGCTGCCAAGTGAGGGTCCTTGGCTTCACGCAGGAAAGAACTCAAAAGGGAGCCATAGGAGAGTGAAGGTAGATTTATTCAGAAAGATGCACACTCCACAGACAGAGTGTGGGCCGTCTGGAAAGATGGGGAGAGAGAGAGGGAGAGAGACCATGAGGTGCGAGGTTGTTAGTTTTCTGGGCTTGGTAACTTCATGTGCTAACAAGTGAGAGGATTATTCCAGCTCCTTTGGGGAAGGGGTTGGGAGTCCCAGGAACTGGGCCATTGCTCACTTTTTGACCTTTTATGGTCAGACTTGAAACTGTCGTGGCACCTGTGGGAGTGCCATTTAGCAGCTAATGTATTACAATAAGCGTATATTGAAGCTCAAGGTCTACCAGGAGTTGAATCTTTCACCATCTTGGTGCTAATGGCTCTGCCAGTCTTTTAACGGTTGTGCCCTGCCCCCTTCCCTCCTGTCTCACTTCTGAGACTCCAATTACCCCAAATGTCACACTGTTAATGCTTATTTTTTCATATTTTTCTTCTGTATAATTTGTTTTGAATGTTTTCTAATATCCTATCCTCCAACTAGTTAGTAAATTGTGCTCACAATCTGCCATTGAACCCATTCACTGAGTTCTCAGTTTTAGATATTGTATTTTTCAGTTCTAGAATGTCCATCTGATTATTCTTTTTATAGATTCTATTCCAAATGTGTGGTGAAATTCTCTATTCTGTCATCGGTTTTGTCCATCTTTTCCTCTATTTTCTTGAAAATATTAATCATAGCAATCTGAAAGTTCTTATCTGTTAATATCTGGACCATCTATGGGTTTGTTTGTTTCTGTTGTCTAATTTTTAGATTTAGTTATCTGTGATATGATCTTGCTTTTCATGTGTTTAGTAATTGTTTATTGAATGCCAGGCATTTTGATAAAAGACCTGTAAAGGCTCTGGGTGATGTTCTCTCTCCCATTTCCTCTGTTAAGCATTGGGCAGGAGATCGTTCATCAGAGACTGAGCTGAATCAGGGCCTGGATGCAATTTTGGTAAGAGTTTTGATAAGACTCTGTCTGTCTCCTGGGGTGCTTGGCATGTGACTCCCTCAGAGTCTTCAGTTAGAGCCTGGAAGGTCTTTGTCTCTTTAACCCTGAAGACTGCAGGAGATTCAGTTCTGCCCTTCACAGGTTTTCCAGCTTAGCTTTTTAGCTCTGACCTCATACAGATTCAAAATTTAGTGCACATCTTGAAAGGGAGCCTAGCCATCTGTCGAGGTCCCTCTAGTCTTCAGTTGTGACACCCCAGTTTCTCATAAATATCATAAGCTCTCTATCTTTCAGCAGCAGGCTTAGAGATCAAACCTCTAGCAGCTTCTGGAATTAATGTGACCCCCAGAAAAAGGGGCCTGTGGAATCCCGGTGTCCATGCACCGCTCTCCCTACAGCTTTCATCTGTTGCCTTGTCGTCGGTTCGCTACCACCTGACCATTTTAGTTTCCTCAGCCCCTCCAGACCATTGGATATTTCACTCTGCCTTTTAAAACTTTTCACCTAACTCTTGTCACCCCCCAACAGCCTCAGATTCAGGAAAGGTTTCATGGGGGAGCTAGCCATGTCTTTGAGTCTTCTAAAATCCCTGCTTGGAGCAGTGCAGCCCCACAGAACCCCTGAGAGTTTTGCTGATTTCTCTGCCCCCTCCCTAGCATGGCTTCTGCTGGTCCTCAGCTCAGCCCAGAATCAGAAAATGACCCAGGGGAATAAAGGGCAGCCAACTCTCCGCTCACCTCTAGACAGTCCTCTCCTTTCTGAAATTTTAGTCCATTTATCCTTGCAGTCTTCTCAACTCTCTGATGCCATTAAAAATAGTGGGGGACAGACGTTACACTGGTGAACCGCCCTGTGTCTGGTGGGGCAGGGCTCACAGACGGAGCTGTGGGACTGGAAAGGCTCTGAGGCTTTTCCCACTCCCAGGTCATCATCCAGCCTGGCAAGGAGCGTGATGGCTTTAGGAATGGGATAAGAAAAAAGTTTTAAAAGCAAAGACTGCTTAGAAAAGAGTTAAGCAAAGGGTTACGGCTCAAATTTTGGCCCTCACATGACTCAAGTGAATGAAAAACGAGCAAAAATATTTGTAAATCGGGAGATGTACACACACACACACACGTCTAGATTTCTGTGGTTAATTTAAAATGGAAGTGATCTTGTAACCAGGCTTATAGTGTCAGTAGTGAATGCTGTGCTGAGGCGGAACATGCCCCCTCTAGCAGAGCCTGGGATGAGGTAAGTGGGAGCAAATGCCTGAGAGCAAATGCCTCCTTACATTTTCACCCCGATGCCTCACTCTCCTCACCTGCCTCCTCCAGGCTGGCTCCCACCCACCCACACCTGCTTCTCTTGTCCCAACAGCAGACACGGCAACTCCAAAAAGCTCATTCTGGAAACTCTCCCTCTTTCCTTCACTGCTGCTTAAATGGAGTGTCTGTATTAATTACAAACAACTTCATTATCCAGTGGGAAAGCGCATCTCTGCCCCTTCACACACCACCCCCCGCCCCGCCCCTCACAGCTCAATGGCGCCTCAAACCAGAAGCCAGTTGCTAGGAGACCAGCCGGCAAACTTCAAGAGATGAGTGGTTTCTAGGTTTTGTCTCTGAAGTTCTCTACCCAATCCCAACTCAGGCCAGCCTATCAGTATATTAAAAAAAACAAAAATGGAAAGAACACACACACTCTCCCCTCCATAACTTCAAAGGAGACTTTGCATGTATTATTAGAGAAATAACAAAGCTGTTTATTAGCATAGAGTAAAATATAGTCTCAACTTCTTAAAGTTTTACCTGTAACGCTGGTGTCTGCTTCCTTTAGATTGTCAGCATGCTGTGTTGCGATAGACACCCCTATGAAGTTGTAAGGGCTTTTTTCCTTTTCTTTTCATCTTCCTTCTTCTAGAAATATGAAGGTGATGGGCTGGACCACAGAGAGAAACCTTAAAAAAAAATAAAAGAAATAAGATACTCTTCTGCACTGAATTTGCAATGCAAAGGCTCAACTTGGTTGGTCCAATAGCTTGTATCCCTTAGAAGATGTGGGAGTCCAGTTAAATGATGAAAGTCCTAAAATATTCACAAAGAAAATATGCAGCATCAATAAGGAAGTATTCAATATAATGTGCCACAGACATATCTAATCTTTTTCTTCCAGTGGCAGATGGTAAACAGGATGTTGAGAAATTGAGATCAGGGTCTCCGAGACAGCGAGCGAGCGGCTGCTGTGTAAACAGGAACCCCGCCGGGCATCCTGGGTGGGGATCCTGTGAGCTCCTTCAGCATTTCCTCATGTTTTCCATTTGAGACAGGCTGACCCTAGTAGTATCCAGGAACCTGTCCTTTATGACGGAAAGATCTGGAAGGATTGGGGGCACAGCCCAGCTTGGAAAGACCACAATTTTTGCTATCTAGCCCTTTAGATAAAAAGTTTGCGGATCTCTGCTTTCAACGAATGCCTAAAATTTTAACTTCTTTGGTTCTTCCCTTAGAACAAGAATATTATCTTTGACAATATTTGCAAAACAAATTAGAGGCATTCATTAACCTTCACTGCTTTGTTTTCCCCTATTAGCTCAGTGACAGGTATAAAGAATGTTAGTCATTCCCCATGACTTTTGTCCCTCCCTAGTACAATCTAGTTAAACTGGATGTATTATATGTATGGTTTTTGCTCACTTTTTATTTTTTCAGATTCTACATTGCAACTAATCTTTATTTGTTTTTCAATGAAGTATAGTTGATGTACAGTGTTGTGTTAGTCTCTGGTGTACAGCATGGTGATTCAGTTATGCTCACGTACACACTATACATTCTCTTTCGTTACAGGTTACTACAAGCTATTGAATATAGTTCCCTGTTCTATATAGTAGGATCTTGTTGTTTACCGTTTGTATATAGTAAAGTTAGTGTCTGCACATCCCACATTCCTAACTTATCCCTCCCCTCCTTTTCTCACTTTGTTATTCATGAATTAGCAATCTCATTTTGAATTCTCCCTCCTAGAAAGGGATTATTTTTTTAATCCAAACTACATATTTTGGCCACTGTATCATCAAATTTTAAAATCATTTCGATTAAACTTTAAAAGTACCCATTGTTTTCTATAAATATTGCACTGTTAGTGCCGTCAAGAGTGTCATTGTATTTGGCTCAACATTAGACATATAATATTTCAGGCTTGGACACCTGTTTCCTTATCTTTGTTGAGTATCTTAACTGTTGGCTGTTTATCCACTCTGCTGTCCATTTTCGTAGTGGCGTGAGTGCACTTTGACATGTAAACCTGCCTACAGTCAGTGTTTCCAGTTTTTTAAAAAATTCTAGCAGTCCATTTCTCTAAAGATAGTCTATTACTTTTCTCTTTTCAGCCTCTTTTCTTTTCTGAGTTCCACAGTCATGTTTTCTATTTTTATCATCATCCTAATTTGTTCTGCGATTTTCAAGGATCTAGAAAAATTAAATGAAATTATATCCCAGGTGCACACAATTTTAATAACTATTTCTCAAAAAGTGCTAATTACTGTAAGTTTAAAAATAAAAGTGATTCAGTATCTCCCTTCAAACACGTTACCCCTGGACCTCCGCATACACACAGTGAAGAGCAATGTGAATATGTTGATATTTCCAAATGTTCCTCAGCCGCCCATATGCACCTGTTGTGAATATCACAGAACTGAGCACCAAGAGGAGGTGGAAAACGAGCCCTCGGCGCTATCGAGGAGCAGTACTTTGCCGTGCACAAAGCGATCCCTTTGATGCTGTTTGGGAGGCTGTATTTGACAAGCTGCTTTGTCTTTTCTCCACCCTAGGCACTCCCAGCGCTCAGCTCCTTCCCACATTCCACAGCGGCACCCAGCTCCCATTGGCCTTCGAGCATTCTTTCACCACCGCCTTTTGTTTTGAAGCCATAGAGCAAAAGAGAATGTCAGGCGTTTCTGAGTCCTGATGGTGTTAGCGAGGAGAGTGCTGAGGGTTTACAGGTGACCCCGCCAGCACTGGGGGCTGCAATGCCAGGTGAGCTAGGTATTCTCTTACACGTTGTGTGTGTGTGTGTGTGTGTGTGTGTGTGTGTGTGTGTGTCGTCGTGCGTAGTACCGTACTACTCCGTCCGTTCGGTTCCGGACCAGCGACGAAGTAACTTACCTAAAGGAAGGTACGTTTGTTCATTGTTATTA